GCCCCCAGACATGGGGGGTATCACTGTACTCAGGAGATATTGCTGACCACATATTGGGGTCTTCTTTGGCAGTAACCCTTAAAGTTCTCAGTACATGTATTCTTAAATTGTTATGTGTGTCAAAAAAATCACAATTATTATTATTTTTTTTTTAATTTGGCAACAGTAAGAAAATTGAAAAACGGTTTGGTCTCTAAAGGGTTAAATCTAGCTATAGATGATTTAGAAAAATTCAGGAATATTCCCTAAAGTGTTACTTTTTGATAATTCAAAGTTAATTTAAAATTTTGGGCTATATTAGCTAAGCTGAAAACACAGCAGACTTTGGGAATGTTTTTAATTTGACTTTTAAAGCCTAAAATTTGATTTTGATATTTAATTATTAACACTCCTTACTCTAGTGCATTTAATAACTGTAATATTTTTGAAACTGTTGACAAAGTGCCCGGAGCTGGAGCAAAACACATTCAGTTTTATTAGGTATGTGGTGTATGATCTCCCATCCCTCCTTTTTGCATGCACAGTTTGCTAATTTTCACTGTCTATCTGCCAATATTGTTTCATGTTTTTATTCACATGGATAGTAAACAGAGATCTTTTTATTGTCACTGCCTTTCTTCATTTTTTTTCTCATGGTGGAGTGCAACCTTTGGTTATATTTCTTGTGACTTTTTTTCAAACCCTTATGAAACCCTTATGAGTACTGTGACTCCAGGTGTTCTGGATATTGACATAGGAATAGAAGGATAATCATGAAATCTTGAATTGTTGGTGGTCCCCGAGGGCTTGTTTGAGAATTGCTTGCTTCAAAATTTTTGAAATATATATATATATTTTTTTTTTTCTGCGTTTCATTCATATTCTTTGGCAGATTGGCAGATTTATTCTGTGATATTTTTATAATCCTTAAATCAATTACTATTAGAACAATATAAATCTAGTGGGAAAAGAGGGCTATATAAATATAACAGGTATTTCAATATCAACACTGTGGACACCCAACACCAAACTCAACCCATTCACGAAGTTTGACAACTTTCATTATTTAGATTTCATACAGTGACAAAAATATAATTTAGCTTTCAACAGATGATTTATAGTCTATGAATTTTTAAAATATTATTGTTAATTTGCTTTGTTCTCAGAGGGTTGTGTATTCACTTTTGTTTATTATATAATATTTGATTCTTATTCAGGAAGCTGGAACCCACCAAGAAGAGATGGAGATGGAAATGATGTCAAGCACATCACCACCAGAGAAATCAAAACATAAGTCTGCTTCTCCCAACCACCAACATCTGGATGTACCTGCCCCATCTGACCAGTGCAAAAATGCTGACTTACCTTCTCCAGCTGACAGTCCATATAAGACTGAAAAGAATGGACATCCAAAAGACAATGGAAAAGCAACTAAAGCACTTGAAATACAGTCAATGCCAAATGGAAAAACGCAAACCTCACTTAAAACTTTAAGTAAGAGGAAACTCTCCCAGCAGAAAGAAAAGAAAGCCACACAAATGTTGGCCATTGTACTTGGTAAGTCTGCATTTTTAAATAAACCATTCAATATTCCACATCAATAGAAAACAAATGTAGAAATTTGCATTTGTTAGGAATGTGGAAAAGTTCAAAACTTAAGCTTTCAAAACTTTAAAACAAAATCCAACAATTAAAGTATGTGATGTATTTATATTATGTGTTGTTTAAAATTGTAGCTCTCTGGACTGGCGAACTGACAATTTGACACTTCTACGTATTAAGCTCACTAAGAACTTAGACCTCCTTTTAAGCTTCAAATACACCAAACTGTTGAAAGAATTTAAAGAAACACTGAAATCCTGGGAGGGGAAATATCTGCCCTGGCTGGGAAGGATAGCCACAATAAAAATGTCCCTCCTGCCAAAGCTCCAATATCTATATAGGACACTACAGATTCCAATTCCTCAACGCTATTTCAAGGATATGATGCATCTTTTGTTGCACTTTACATGGAAAAATAAAAAGATAAGAGTACGCACCAAACTTATCCAACAGGCAGTGTCAGACGAGGGTTTGGGCTTCCTTAATCAGGTGAACTGGCAGCAATCTTGAATTCGGTGGCACAACTGCATGCACCCGAAGACCCACAATGGGTCCATTTGGGAAACTATTGGGTCAAACCGTATAACTTAACCACACTAGTTTGGACCTTGGCCTTATGTAGACCCCCTACTCCGAATATATTAAGGCCAACACAACTGCTACTCCATATATGGAACATAACCAAACACAAACTCCCTCGCACCACACCCATCTCACTGGCGACCCCATTAAAGACAATGCAACACCATATGCCAACCTTTTTAAGTTAGGTATAGGAGAATCATGGAATTTCCCACCTACACCAATTATACCAAGGAACGAATGTGATACCCTTTACAGAATTAAGTCACCAATATACCCTCCCGTCTAGAATATGATTCTCTTACCTACAATTTTAAATCATACATGCTGCAGATGAGGCTAAGTACAGGCTCACCAGAGATTCGAAACACGCTCTCACAATTTGAATTAGTATGTTAACGACTTAATTCCATGCAAAAGATGATACTCATAAGCTACTCACTACTAAATAGGGAGGGAGATAGGCGCCTTGAGTCTGAAAAGGAGTCTTGGGTCGGTGAGCTGGGACATGATCTGGGGGAGATTCTTGGAACAAAGCTATGTCCATCCTGCATGGGACACCTAGAACTACAGCATAAAATTATGTACAAATGGTATATGGTGCTAGCGAGGCTGCACCACATATGGCCAACCATGTCAAACTCATACTGGACGTGTCAAGCAAAAGTGGGCACCATGCTCCACACATGGTGGACATGTGCGTTCTGGGAGGCAGTCTCCCAGATGATCACTAGAACACTCCAAATGGAGATTACACTGACCCCAGAGATGTTCCTTCTGTTTATCTTCCCTCCTGTACTTCCCAAGCCCCACCAAGCATTACTGTACCACATTCTAATCTCAGCACCGTTGGTAATATCCAGGTTGTGGAGACAAACTGCCCCACCGGACATAGCAGCCATTAAAAAACAAATAAACCTAAACTGGTCATTAGATAAAAAATGAAAATGACACAATTCAGATCCAACCATAGCTTGGCCATGGCATATGAATGATGGACTAGATATAACACTGCAGAAGAGAAGCAACCCTTGTAAATACATTTATTAAAAATATTTAAAAAAAACAACACACTCAGAGACAATTAGATATTAAGCTAAAACTGAAGGGTGAGGACCCCCTACCACTCTGTCCCCTTTCCCACCACCAGTTTCTTTCATTAAGTTACTCCTAGTTCTATCACTTTACTTCATTAGACAGACTGTTAAAGGGAAAAACCTGCTGGTCAATGCTATGTCAACGAACACGGTACTAGGATTAGTGATAGAATCACCTAAGCAATTGCACCATTGTTAATAAAAGCTAGCATTGCATTATCCATGTACTGTACTGTATGCTGTTGCTCTCTGCTGTGACTATGTAATGTTGCAAATACTCAATGTTGCACACATATACCTTTGGTTGATCATGCAATAAAAATTGTCAAATTGAAAAACAAATTGTAGCATTTTAAATAAATCTTCAACCTCATAAGGTGCAGCAGAAAATTATAGCTTTGATTTAATAAACTTACTAAATGATTCAATACTGTTAGAAAAAAGTTTGCAAATTACTTACAAAAGTCACCATTAAAGTGGATTTTTTGAAGATAAATAATTTGGAAAGTTTTTGAAAGAGTATTAAATAATTTTGGAAGTTTATTAACCTGAGTGATATGTCCCTTCATTTTTTGTAACAATATATACCTTAATGACTATTAGTCTGAAACAGAATGATCATTTTCAATCTTGAAAGTAAGTAACTGCCATAAGCTGTCACTATTAACAACAGTCAGTAGTTACTAGTGACTGCTTGTTACTGAGTGGTTTCTAACTTTGTTACCATTTTATATTGGATGATCACCCATAACATCTGCTCACAGGTAACTTGACCACTTGCACGATAGGTGATATCTGGTAAAGCACATGTTATGTAAGTTGTCATGATAGCAACCACACATTGAAAGTGACAAAAGCTCACCTTGATCATCTGTACTTTACCCTGTGATTGGTCTTACTCATGCTTTTTCGCAATGCCAGATGCACACCTTTCTTTTGCTGTGTGGATTGCTCATTTAAATAACACATGCACTTTGCATACAGAGTCAATGATTTTAGATACTGTCTGTTTTTCCATCATTCCAGTTTTATTGATATGTTTTTTTTTCTTGCAGGTGTCTTCATTATATGCTGGCTTCCTTTCTTTATTACCCATATCTTAAATATTCACTACAGCTTACCACCAACCATGTATAATGCATTTACTTGGCTTGGTTATGTTAACAGTGCCGTCAATCCTATCATTTACACCACGTTCAATGTTGAATTCAGAAAGGCATTCATAAAAATTCTTCACTGCTAGAAGATATACTGGAGCATTAAAAAAATAATGAAGAACCCAAACAGGAAGCACTCTTTCTCCTATGGTGGTCCAAGCAGAATGCCACGTTTTCACCCAGGAGGCAGCCATATGTACTATTCGTAAAAGATTGTTGAATGAGCCACATGAGTGGTTAGGTCAACTGGAGACCAACATTGAGTTTTCAGCAACAATTTTACTTAACTTCATAATTTTAATAAGGATGTTCAACAAGTCACATATCGTATTGACAAGAAAGATCCAGTCATTTGGCAACTGAGCCTTAATGGTATTAAGACTTCACCTTTACTCACAATAAAGTCAAGTTTGTATTGATTCAGCCTTTGATAGTGAAACTAGTGAAACAAAGGGCAGACATATAACAAAATAATTGCAATCTCACCAAAGACAGTGCCATCTCTTTTGTGCAATAGCAGATACAAAACTATCATTTGCATCTGAATCAGGGCACTGGGGCTTATTTTATTGTAATGTGATGTCCTCCACACAATGTAACTGTGTGATACTTGGGCTTTTTTACAGTTGCCAGCTCCAGCTGCCTGGTGGAGGAGATGTTCTACTATAATGGTTAATGCAATGTGTAAATGATGCAGGAAAAGAATCAAGTGACAAAAGTGTATATACTGTATGTGAATGATCCGATAGAAGCCCAAGCCAAAAAGTTATATAAATAAAAATCTGTTGTGCATGGTGTGTGTTATGTATAGAATAACCATTATCACACCATGCCTAAAGCTAAGGAATTGTAATATATAAAATACACTTGCTTCTGAAATACCCAAATTGTTTTACAATCATTTTCATGTCAGTTTGATAAAATATATCAGACAATTTTCACCACTGTATTAATGTAAGATCCATCAGAGATATGGTGAAACCTGTAACTTGTGTATTGACAGTTTTTCTGGCAAAAAAAAATACATCTAAATGTGCCAATATGCTCAATGCCTACTAAAAAAAACCTATATTGCATATGTGCAAACAGCTTTTTTTTTCACCACTCTTTACATACTGTATTTTAAATTTAATCAGGAAGATAATTAATATTGTAATGTGTAATCACATTCAGTAAATAAGCAGAGGTATGGAAGTTGAATTGAAATAACATTTCTACGTTAGCTGCTATTTAATAAAAGCCTTTTCACTAAAATGAGAGAAACTGCATACAATTTAATGCATACTTTGCTGTATGATTACATAGAAACTAGAGTAGTTTCATGAATTGGAGTTAAAGTGCTCCAATGTAAAATATATTACACAGCAAGATATATTCATGAAAAGTCTGAGTCTACGGTTTTTATTTTTAATGTGACAACATACATTGCATGAGAATGTCGCTGTATAGGAAAATGTTAAAGTAGATACATATCATAACAATGGAATGTTAGTAGTGAATATACTCCGTGAACAGCCGTTCACAGTCATACACCAATGCCTTTAAAACCAGCGAAGGTATCTTCTATTTGCTATTCTGGCAACACATATAGGCCTTCTGTTTATATTTAAATATTCATATGCACTTTTCATATGTATTTTATGTTTATATAATATTTTTTATAAACATTTCTTCAAATACACTCATATGTTTTAAAAAAACTTTACTTTTACTTTACAAATTATTTCTTTAATTAAAGAGATGTGTTAATCAAAATATTTTTGTATTACCTAATGGGTTATTTACTATAAAATGAAATGTTTTGAAAGTAAAGAGTTAAATAGCCATAGCCAGTTAAATAAAGTAGAAGAATTAACTAGTTATGTTTTCAGTTTTGCTATTTTGATCCATATCTAAAATTATATCTAGAAAAAAATATATTCTTAAGTGAATAACTGTGCCGGTGATCTAACAAGAAAACTCAGATGTTATGAATGGTATCAAAAATAGCTTATTCAATAAACAATGGTGAATTTACACTAGAATAAATGTCCTGAAAACATCCCATAATTAATCTAATTTCGTAACATCTTAGACTAAAGTTGCAGTTAGGATGTCAGTTCCTCAAATTCAGTGTTTATGTAACACAATGTCAGATATTAAAAAAATAAATAAATAAAATGATATCTGGTTTGTTAAAGGAGCACTCCACTGCCCACATAGGGGGGTCGGGAGGAAGAAATCACTGTTTAGTAGATATACTAATATATATATATATGTATTTATATATGTATTTATATATAGATGAATACATATATTAATTTCCATGCATGTAGTCATTGGGGGTATATCTTAAAAGTGTTTGCAAAGGCTGCAGATGGCAAGCACTCCCATTTTTTTCCAGAAGAGACTTGCAGTACCAATCAGAGACTCATTGAGAATTGGCCCACACATGCACGCGCGGGCTTGTGCACATGCACACACAGTTATATGAGCACGGATCGGCTCGTGTACACGCGCGCAAATATACGCGCACACATCTGGTCTAATGTCTAAAGCTGAGGAGCTGGTGAGTGGGGAGACAGGCATGCTCAGTGGAGCTCACTGAAGTAGGAAGGAATCCTCCCTGGCTGTTTGACAGCCAAAGGGGGTGGTCCCTAGCAAATTTATAAAAGTGCTGATTTCTTATAGAAATCAGCACTTTTATAAACTAAGATTAAACTATGCCACTCCTCACCCATAAAGCTCTTCAACAAGCTGAAGTGCTTTTGGGGTGTGGAGTGGTCCTTTAAATCAGAATAATTTACAATGTTATACCTGTGATAGATTAAAAAAAAAGATTGATTTATTAACTTATTGGTAATGGGAAGGAAGTCAAAAATGTTTGGTCTGTCTTTTTTGCTTTCTTTTACTTAACACATTTATCAAATACTGTCTCATTAAGTCCAAGAATACAGGTATACATATAAAATGGCTTTTAATCTATGCCCGAACGAATCTTCGATCTGGTAAATCACGAATGGATTAATTTGTTCGGGTGTAGATTAACAGGAATTTAATTTGTTTATACCAGCTGGAAAGCATTAATGTACAAGTCTAACAAGTACTAGTTTTAAAGTGAATCTTGTAATATTTTTTAACAGAAATGCTTGTCTATTACTACGTATGCACTTATTTTAGGAGTGAAAAGTCATAGATAACCATGTCTCTGAACTGTTTCTGGAAAACTAGAAAAAGATAGTTTTTAATATTTTACTCATGGCTCGACACAAATTGTCACAGAAAAGCAGCAATGGTCTCTGGAACTAAAAAGATTACAGTAGAAGCAATCAGAGGCATTACGTGGTTACAAGAAACTCATTAATAGATTAATTAACAATAACGGACCAGATACAGAATGTTAATGTTTTCCAATCGAAGCGGAAAAGGCAATTTGTTTAGCTTTTATTATTTTCTACTTGATTTAGAGAACTTTAAAATGACTTTTTATAGGAGGAAGTGTTGTTACATTTTTTTTGTAATTACCATTTTATAGAGCTTCTAGAAAAATATCTTAAGTTTAATGATCCCATTTAATGATCGTTATAAAAATAAAACTATTTTAACAATATTTTAAATAATTAAAATGATTCTCTACTGCCTGGAAAACAAACCCGTTTTTCTGGTACTAGAGAATCCTGGAGTGCCCCCCTCCCCCCAGGCCCCCCCATCTTAGGTCGCTGAAGGGGTTAAAACACCTTCAGCCACTTACCTGAAGCCAGCGCCAATGTCCCTCAGTACTGGGTCAGGCTTCTCCTACGCACCTTTGCTACGCATGCCCATTAGGTCTCCCCCGCCGTGGACATTGGCGGGGGAGACCTAATGGGCATGCTCGGCAAAGGCCACACGCGCATTAGATTTACCCATAGGAAGGCATTATTCAATGCTTTCATATGGGGTTTCTGGCATAGCGTGAGGACATCCAGCATCATTTAGATGACCAAAAGTCATCTAAGAACCCAGACGTCCCTCTACTTCTTTACACTTGCAGGGTTAATAATTACACTTGCAAGGTTAATGGTGATGGAAGTTGGCACCCAGACCTCTTCAATGAGCTGAAGTGGTCTGGGTGCCTACAGTTACCCTTTAATACACATAGAGAGCAGGGTATAAGGTAAAGCAAAAAGGACACCCATGATCCATGAGAGGCTTTTAAAGAAATATTGAGAATGTTTAAAAAATATATATCAAAAGAGACAATTATTGGGATTGTACACCAGGCATATAAGCAAAACCCCAAATTAAAAATACTATTCTGGGTGCTTGATCTCAGTTTATCCAATGTAACACTAGACACAACCTTTTAAATAATCTGCTCAACAATGTATATGCCAAATAAAACTCAATTAATTAATTCATACACTAAATAACAACATAAAACAAATGGCAACCAAGATGCATACATCATAAGTGATTTCTGACCTTGAGGAAGAGGTGGGGGTATCTGCACTCACAGTGCTTATTTCATGTATTATTTAACATTTGTTTATCTTGATTGCCATTTATTTTGTGGTGATATTATATGCATGGTTTAAAGTGTGCTTTTAAGCAGAATTAAATGAGTGAGCTGATTCATTGAGAATAAATAAAATATATTCCAACACCTGGTCTGCGATTCTCAGCAGATGTTTTAGGTATTAACTTGTATCAACAAAAATAGTATTCACTGGACAAATACCATATGGAAGTATAGTGTATGTTCTCTAGTCACATTTATAATACATTAAAAAGCATTCTAGCATATACCCCTTTATGGCACTGCCCTCTTCCCCATACCCCACTCCTCCCTTTTCTCATGGAATGTTTTTAAGAGCTAGTTCTCCTGCAAGAGTTCTTCACATAGAGCAATGGGAAATATAAACAAACTTAAGCCACAAATCATTTTATTATATCCCTATGTATTTTGCCTTTTTCAGAATTAGCTTCATCAAGGGATCAATAGAAGTAAGCAAGCCGAAGTTCCATCCACATCTTAACAATGTACTATGCATGCCTTAATAGCACTATAGTACCAGTTCAAGAGTCAGATTTTAAATGTGGACAAGAAATTCACCACTGAGCCTCAATTTTTCTTTTGAAACTATAAAAAAAATGAAATTATGTAAATTTGACAATTTTATTTTTTTTATTTATCCTTTACATAAATATTCAGGTGATGAAATGATTTAGGGATAATAGGGTATATTTTACGTTGTAATATTTCATATGGGATCTGTGATATTAGCCCTTCAAATCTAAAGAGCATTATTGTCTTATATAATAAGTATGGCAAAAATAGGGAAATCATACTAGACAAACACCCTGCAAGTAATATTTCAGGGAATTCAAAATTTTAACAGTGATGTCTCTATAAATCTATATAACTACTTGCGTAAGTATGATTATGCAAAATATATGCACTATCGATTAATTCAGCATGTATAAAAATCAATGTAGAGTACCTAGTGTGCTTCAGGTAATCTCTTGACATTTTAATGTTGATAGAATATAACCTTGACCTACAAAGTAGACTGGTGGAGGCAGTTCCACCACCAGGGGATACAGTCACTACAGCTGTAAGGGGACACCTGCAGCCTCCCCACCCCCTGGGCCACTGCTGTTTAGCATAGTGAAGAAGGGGCCCAGAAGACTCAATTTTCCATCTCCTGCAAATCCTTTTCAACTCTCGTGAGCCCCGGTTGTCAGAGCATTGCTCTGGGTTACCACGGCAACACACCAATGCAGCACACAAGAGACGAAGAGGACCTGCCAGAAGGGGAAATTGGAGTCTCCAGTGCCCCCTCTTTTTTCTTAGGCTGTAAACTCATCTCATAGACTTAATTTAGCTGGGCCTTCTTTACCTCTTGTCTGTTACATTCATATGAAAATTACTTGTTATTAAATATCTATGTTTTATAATTGAAAATAAAAATATAGCGCTACAGAATATGTTGGCGCTGTATAAGTGATAATAATAACAGCAATAACTATACTAGCACAGCAAGCTGCACTGTTCCCCTGGACCCCCAGGGAATCTAGTGTCGTCCCCCCTCACTGGCCACAGGTAAGAAGGTAAAAATAAAACTGCTCATTCCACAGCCCTTATCTTTCCAACCTCACAAATTTACACCCACACTGCATCCACTACACACAAACAGACAAACTGCATCCACCACACACAAATTCTGCATACACTACACATACTAAATCCACACATGCACGCACTCACACTGCATCCCCTACACACACTCTGCATCTACTACACACATAGCATTTACTACACACACATAACACTCACTACACTCATACATGGCATTCACTACACACACTCTGCATCCACTACACACACACATAGCATTCAATACACTCATACATGGCATTCACTACACACACTCTGCATCCACTACACACAAACACATAGCATTCAATACACTCATACATGGCATTCACTACACACACTCTGCATCCACTACACACACATAGCATTCACTACACTCATACATGGCATTCACTACACACATTCTGCATCCACTACACACACACATAGCATTCACTACACTCATACATATCATTCACTACACATACGACATTCACTACATATACATACTCTCTATCCACTATACATACACTGCATCCCTTTTACGCCATGCACAGCAGCCTTGTGGGTGAACTTCTGTGGATGGACCTGAGGACCAACCCCTGTGGGCCCAGGCATTGAGCTGTGTAAGAGGCCTCAAAATTTCTGATGGCACCCTGATGGGAGGATAGAGATAGGCACCATTTATAGTCAATGTGTACATAGTTCTGGCAGAGAAATGTGCTTCTCTTTAAGATAAAAGCAATATTGCTAGATATGTAAGTAGATTAATTAAATTTTGCCATACAAAACTAAAGTTAACATAATTTTACATTTTGATAATAGAGAATGGATTAACCTTTCTTAAATCATACTTGTAATTTTACGGATTTAAACACACAATCCATTCCTATTCTGTTTCTTTTGTAAACTATTTCACATTCAATGTATTTACAAATATCTAGTTAAGATAGAAGGTAATTGTTATCAATGATTACGTGCATTTGTATCAATGATTCCATCAGCCCTGTTACAAATAAATATCATGTAAAAATATTAAACATGAGAAAGTAGACTGAGCTCATGAGTAAAAAAATACATATACAGATTTGTTTTTAGATTTATATAAATATATTCATGCATTTAAATGTGTTCAATCTCTCTCATTTTACTGTATTGAAAAATATAATAATCACTAAAGCACACCTTACTTTATTCTGAATTATAACACTTTAATATACGTTATAGTATTATAAATAGTAAGATCAATGAGTTTATCATACATCCAGTCAGTCTGCTTCTTTGGTATGATTCAGGAGTGGCACAATGGAAGATTCTAACCTGCTAGAACTACAATTTACTTGATGCTATCGGCCTACATAGCTTTATGCATGCTGTATTTCTGGATATCTACATTGTGTGACTCTTAGATCAGAAAGTACCTCTGCAGTATACAAGAATATTAAAGGGACACTATAGTCACCAAAACAACTTTAGCTTAATTAAGCAGTTTTGATGTATAAATCATGTCCCTGCAGTCTCACCACTCAATTATCTGCAATTTAGGAGTTAAATCACTTTGTTTATATACCCCTATTCACACCTTCATGCATGTGACTTGCACAGCCTCCCTAAACACTTCCTGTAAAGAGTCATCTAAAGTTTATCATTCCTTTATTGCAAGTTCTGTTTATTTTAGTTTTCTTATCCCCTGCTCTGTTAAGTCTTCTGTATGCGATTAAAGTTCAATTTACAGAGTAAGAGATACAACTGTTTAAGGTAAATTACATTGGATTGAAAGTGAAACCAGTTTATTTTTTTTCATGCAGACTGTGTCAATCATAGCCAGGGGAGGTGTGACAAGGGCTACAGAAACAAAGGGATTTAACTCCTAAATGGCCATGAATTGAGCATTGAAACCTGAGAGGCATGAACTATACACTAAAACTGCTTCATTAAGCTAAAGTTGTTTAGGTGAATATAGTGCTCATTTAAGAATAAGAAAAAAATAAAACCAAATATTATAAACTACTGGCTTTTGGGTCTTCTTAGAAACATTAAGCAAAAATAACAGGGACATCTGAGCCACCGGCAATTGTATCATGACATTTTTGCTGTGCATTGTTTGATCTACTGTGCAAATTTTGACACTCAGTCCTGCAGGGAATCTGTGAATGTTGTAATACATTGCATAACCATAATTGGCACAAGTCACTTATTTGTGCCATATTAAACATCACTGAATGATCAGAGTTTTCTTGTGTTTATTTGTGTATACATGAAATCTGTCTATTTGATGTCTAATGCTGATGAGATTCTCACTTTGGAAAAAAGTGCACCCTTCTGCCCAAAAATATAAGACGTTACAGATAGTTCCAGTGGGAGAAAAAGCACCTTGAACAAAGATTATTGTTATTATAATATGTAATAGACCTCGTAACTTAAATTGCTACTAAAGGATTACAAAACAGACATCAGTGATTTACAGAATATTTAAAAAATAGATTGTAAACTTTGCAGGTTTTGACACATCTGATAAAGAAACTCTCTAAAGGATACAGCTGGCACATCATTACTAAGATGAGTCAAGCAGAGACAAAAAGGTTTATGATGCAGATAGAGAAAGCACAAACACATATTTAAAAGTTAAAGGAACACTATAGTCAGGACCAGATTAAGAGCCCAGTGGGCCTGGTTCTGACAATTATGAGTGGCCTAAGTACAGAATCTTATCAACCAAAAACACTAAAACAGTCATACCTGTTAAGCCTTATGTATCTGGTGGTGATGTTGCCGGAGGGAAACTCATAGGATGCAGCTATAAGAAAACTCAGATTCTCTTAAAATATGTTAATCTCTTTCTAATTCATGCTTTCATCTTTCAAGTAAGTCCATACCCCCTAACAGCAGTGTCCAGTGAAGCAGGAAGTCAATGGGTGGTGTAAAACCATATAACCAGAACTCCCGAAAGGGACAAACATGTCCAAAAAGGTGGCGTGTCTGCCCAAAGAATTGGAAAGCTGGCATGGCATAATCTATGAGAGAAAATAATTTTGAATTTATACAGGATATATATATATATATATATATATATATATATATTGTGGCAGTGTGAGTGAACACTGCTATATTAGCCCCAGAATGGCACTTTCAGTGTTCCCTGACTAGAGGGGGTTAATAATCAGGTTGCTCTAGTACATCAGTTAGGGAGCTACATAAATCCTATGCAGAGGGAAATCAGTATCTCATGTGAAGAGCTGGTGTGGAGACAGAGAGACTGTGAGTCAAAAAGACTGCTGAAACTGTGTGGGAACAAAAATGTATTTTGCAAGCTTTTATTTTTATTTTGTTAAACTACAGGGGTCAGCTTAGCTGCCCAGTAGCATAGAAAGGTACTCTATGTTAGTTAGTCTCCAGTGTGGAGTAGGTGTTTATTTTGGGTTTCATGTTTTGTTGTGGCTCAATTGGGGCCTGCTTGCTAAATAAAGCTTCCCTCATATTGGAAGAAATAACTGTTTCTATTGTTTATGACCCAAGACCTAGCCAGCCTGCTTCAATATATATATCCTGTATAAATTCAAAATGAAATAGTTTGAATGTATATATTATCTCACAAAAGTGAGTACACCCCTGGCATTTTTATAAATATATTATATCTTTTCATGTGACAACGCTGAAGAAATTACACTCTGCTACAATGTAAAGTAGTAAGTGTACAGCATGTATAACAGTGTAAATTTGCTGTCCCCTCAAAATAACTCAACACACAGCCATTAATGTCTAAACCGTTGTCAACAAAAGTGAGTACACCCCTAAGTGGAAATATCCAAATTGGGCCCAAAGTGGCAATATTTTGTGTGACCACCATTGTTTTCCAGCCCTGCCTTTAACCTCATGGGCATGGAGTTCACCAGAGCTTCACAGGTTGCCACTGGAGTCCTCTTCCACTCCTCTATAATGACATCCTGGAGGTGGTGGATATTAGAGACCTTGTACTCCCCCACCTTCCATTTGAGAATGCCCCACAGATGCTCAATAGGATTAAGTCTGGAGACATATTTGGCCAGTCCATCACCTTTACCTTCAGCTTCTTTAGCAAGGTATTTATATATATCCTGTATGAATTGAAAATGATATAGTTTGAATGTATGTAGTATCTCACAAAAGTGAGTACACCCCTCACATTTTTGTAAATATGTTATTATATCTTTTCATGTGACAACACTGAAGAAATGACACTCTGCTACAATGTAAATTAGTAAGTGTACAGCCTGTATAACAGTGTAAATGTACTGTCCCCTTAAAATAACTCAACACACAGCCATTAATGTCTAAATTGTTGGCAACACAAGTGAGTACACCCCTAAGTGGAAGTTTCCAAATTGGGCCCAAAGTGTCAATATTTTGTGTGGCCACCATTGTTTTCCAGCACTAGCTTAACCCTCATGGGCATTGAGTTCACCAGAGCTTCACAGGTTGCCACTAGAGTCCACTTCCTCTATGATGACATCATGGAGCTGGTGGATGTTAGAGACTTGTACTCCCCAACCTTCCATTTGAGGATGACCCACAGATGCTCAATAGGGTTAAGTCTGGAGACATGTTTGTCCAGTCCATCGCCTTTACCTTCAGCTGCTTTAGCAAAGCAGTGGTCGTCTTGGAGGTGTGTTTGGAGTCATTATCATGTTGGAATACTGCCCTGTGGCCCAGTCTCCAAAGGGAGAGGATCATGCTCTGCTTCAGTATGTTACAGTATATGTTGCCATTCATGGTTCTCCCAATGAACTGAAGCTCTCCAGTGCCGGCAGCACTCATGCAGGCCCAGAACATGACACTCCCACCACCATGCTTGACTGTAGGCAAAACACACGTCTTTGTACTCATCATTTGGTTGCCGCCACACACGCTTGACACCATCTGAACCAAATAATTTTATCTTAGTCTCATTGGACCACAGGACATGGTTCCAGTAATCCATGTCCTTAGCCTGCTTGCCTTCAGCAAACTGTTTGCGTGCTTTCTTGTGCATCATCTTTAGAAGAGGCTTCCTTCTAAGACGACAGCCATGCAAACCAATTTGATGCAGTGTGTGGCCTATGGTCTGAGCACTGACAGGCTGTCCCCCCATCCCTTAAACCTCTGCAGCAATGCTGGAAGAACTCATACGTCTATTTCCCAAAGACAACCTCTGGATATGATGCTGAGCACATGCACTCTACTTCTTTGGTCAACCATGACGAGGCCTGTTCTGAGTGGAACCTGTCCTTTAAAACCACTGTATGGTCTTGCCCACTGTGCTGCAGCTCAGTTTCGGGGTTTGGCAATCTTTTTGTAGCCTAGGCCATCTTTATGTAGAGCAACAATTCTTTTTTTCAGATCCTCAGAGAGTTCTTTATCATGAAGAGCCATGTTGAACTTCCAGTAATCAGTATGAGAGAGTGTGAGAGCGAAAACACCAAATTTAACACAACCTGCTCCCCATTCACACCTGAGACCTTTCTAATACTAATGAGTTATATGACACCTGGGAGGAAAAATGGCTAATTGGGCCCAATTTTGACATTTCCACTTAGGGATGTACTAACTTTTGTTGGCAACTGTTTAGACATTAATGGCTGTGTGGTGAGTTAGTTTGAGAGGACAGCAAATTTACACTGTGAAATTAAAAGATATAATAAAATATTTACAAAAATGTGAGGGGTGTACTCACTGTTGTGAGATGCTGTATATGAAGAGTTAACATGCTTTTATTTTAAAGGCATTATTTTATTTCACTGTAGACTATATCTATTCAGGCCTTCGGTGCATTTCATAAGGTATAATAAAATATAATATTGTATCCTGTATATTTTTTTGAAGTAATTTACAAAAATCTGACACTGCAAGCATAATAGAAGCTGCCCAAAATGCCAAAATTGCCTTCGTGATTTTGCCAAACTGGTTTGAAATAAACAATTCTATCCACCCTGCCCAAGTCTAGTAATTTGTCAAATGCTAAGGTAGGTTGAACATACAGATTCGTAGCTTTGTCACTTTTAATGTGATTTTCTTGATTTATGGTTTGATTTGTGTTGCTATTGCATATTGCAATAGACCATGCTATTTTAGGGTCTCCAACAAAACAAATCGCACATGATTTTATCACTGAAAGGCAAAGTTGTTTTGAAATGGAAAAGAAAAAAAGAATATTAGAACTTTATTTGTGTCTAAGTACCCCACAAAAAAAAATGAGAGAATTTATATCAGAATGAAACATGGGGATGTCCGTAAGGATTGCAATATATCAAAAACTATGGCATAGCACTTATCAATGATTTATATTCCAAACGAGCACCACAAATCCCAGTAACACCATTATTTTTGGACAAGTAAAAAGGTACTGGTCAGGCACTCAGTGAAGGTACAAATAAGACTTGTTATACTGAATAATATGTCAGCAACATTTCCGCTTCAAAATGACCATTTGCTAATTATTTCCAGGCACTCAAACCTGATTGCTTTGTCCAATCATGTATGATAAAATACTTCATGCACACATGACAAAATGCCTAGGGCTGCCATTAAGTATTACATATCTAATTCTATTTTTGACATACATCACTGAAGTATCCATGTGGCATTGTTTAAATTAGTGAGACACTGGACAATGATCATATCCACACATAACCTACATACTAGAAATATGACTTTCTAACACAGTGCATTTCTTGCAACGAGTCAAAATATCAAAGTACATGACAATTATAAAAAGGGAGTGATTATATTATATTAAAAAGGAGAGGCATGCATTGGATATGAAAATGGGATTGTCTTTTGCTCAAGAATAAACTAAGATCCAAACTCAGCATGCAAACTGAATTGATTATGTGATTATAAAGTTTTTGACACTCGGGAAAAGATATGTCAAGGCAAGAAAATCCACTAATTTGCCAAATATTGAGAGACATTCTATTGGTTCCATGGTGATTGCTCCTTATTAAGCATTTTCCCCAGAATAACTCCTATTTTATCTTAAAAAATCTCCCAATAGTCTTATAGAAATAAACTTCATAAAATGTACACTTTACCACATAA